AGTTTATTGGTTCGTCTGATAACATGTTTACTGAAACTTCTCATCTAGAATTTTATCCAATTTCCGCATGTTTTTGGCTTTCTGGATTTGTTATTTAACTCTGGAGCTCGTTTCTCTGCAGTCCGTAATCTCCGTGCTCTTTTTAGCTGGAGTTCAACGAACAGCTTGTCCTCTTGACAAGGAAAAATTAAGTGTTCGTTTAATTCAAACACCTACTACAAATCCTATTATTACCCACCTGCACGGGGCGCTCTTACTGAGACATTTTTACACGATCCTGGTTTGATCGGCTCAAGGAGGTGAATGGTTTGGTGTAATTTTGCGTTCTTTTTTATCAGCCGCAGTTAGTGGTTCTTTAGTAGGAAAGATCTCAGAGGAAGATTTACCCCAATCTAGGTTCGTAAATTATCTGCGTAACCCCGCCATAGGCTAAGATTTGGGTTTCATTATTATTACCTTTTAACGCGAAACAGCTGTACCACATTATGATCACTACTTGGAAAGAGAGACAGCACGTTTGCAGGTTACAAATGTCGTGAATAAATATTAGATCCAATATATTGTTACCTCTGGTTGGCTTGTGTACGCTTTGTGTTCATTCCCGTAGCTGGATACCTGTGATGTGGCTCATGAGCCTAGATTGTGCGGACCAATTTTCCCAAGAAACATTGCACTTGTTGAAGTCACCTCCACTTAGTTTATAGGTGAAACCCAGCTCCGAGAATTGTTCAAAAGCAGAAGGGCGATAAGTGTGCGACAGGATATTGACACGACCCACTCGAATGAGGCTATTGTTCAACGCTGCAGCAACACAGACAGATTTATTAGCATTTATCAGTTGTGGGCTTGATGTGGAATGCAAAGTAGCTGTTCACAAACCAAGGTTACACCCTCCGTTCCTTTGGCTACATGGAGTCTACTCACGAAGAGTGTATAGCCCTTAACTTCGTAGTCGGTATAAGGGACATATGGGAAGTCCAATGTCCAAGTAACAAGTATTAGCTAAGGAAGTGGGAAGACAACAGTCTGACGTAAGCTGTGCATTTTATTACTCATAGCGTGCATCACTAAGGACTGCAATATTGCTATCGTCAAATGACAGGTTTAATGCTTCATGGATACTATGGGGTACGACTACATTAGTACCTGTCCAGTTGACTATGGTGTTCGTAGTTGGAGACAATTATCAGTGCTTAGTTGGGCTAGGTTGAGAACCTGGCGGATAAAGCGACGGCTCTCTGGCTGTTTCAGACTGGGAGTTTGGGGCGGTCGAGTTCAGTTCCGAAGTTGGCTTTACTATTTCGGCGGTATTATTGTTGCCGAGGTTTGCACTTGTGGGTTATGCATGGAATCACATGGACTGGTAGTGGTCCCACAGTTTTTTAGAAGTTGTGGATGAAACACAACTCCTTTTTGTTCTGAAGGCTATTTCGTCTTATGGGGATATATGTCGCAACTGTGGACACCAAGAATACAGCATCTTAACGTCACGCATTTCATAGTCTAAGGAGCACGGAATCAGGGCAATCTATAGAAAACGGTTGCAGTTTTTTTCGTGAGACTAGGCGCCTTTTCACAAGCAGCTGACTCCTCAGTTCGTTAACGATATTTACCGTTTCATAGGACAAAGGTGTATTTAGGGCTGTGTATCTTCCAGGTCGAGCAATTTTCTGGAGTTGTGTTTCTAGCTATTGTGTCCGTTCAATACCATTTGGCGATGGAATAAAGCTATTTATTTTTGCGTATGAAATTTCATGCCTATGCGGCATTATGGTTAAATCGATTGTAACGAATTTCTACCTGCAAATCGATTGTATTTGTGATATTTTAGGTACATTTTCTTTTACATTTAAGTCCGCATAAAAACAGCAACGTTGTAGGCAACTCCTGTCATGCGGTCTTTATCAGATTCGACGGAGGAGTTAAGGCCAACCACAGGCGCTCAGATTTTTTTGTAAATGTGTTTCCAAATGACTCTTCAGACTTTGAAGACCACTAAACTGATGAGGCGTTGCCTTTAGCTCGTATTTCTCTTTCTACTGTGATTCGGTCCGCTCTACTCGTGGCCTACTTGTCATTAGATGATCGTGAGGCATCCACTGTGACGAAGAGAAACTGATCGAAGCTCTTAAGTTACTCTGGCCAGATAAAATGGACGATTCGGAGGCCAGGAGCAATCATTTGACTACATCTTTGCCCTAGTTTGGGCTTATTGTTTACATTTATTGCTGGTTAATGCCCCCGGTGGGCACGTGATCTAATTTCATTTGCACTGATCGAAACCATTGTTACCCCATTGCTCTTGTACCCATATGATTGTAAAGGTCTGACGATGAATGCATCGAAAACCATTGTTTACCTTCGGTCCCTTGTTCCTGTTAGTATCGGATAGTCGTGCTTTTGTAACTTTATACAAAGGCAGTGTATTCTCCATCGCGGAAGAAAGCAGCCCCATTTTTTCGATGGTGTACTTATTAATATGCTTGTCTTCCCTCCAATCATTAGGCAATAGCTCAGTTCAACATGTACCCTAGAGCCCGTTGTTATCGGTCTTCGGTTTTTCGTAGCTCCCCTTCACCCCCACGGAAGGGCCGCAATCCTGTGCTTCAGCTCGCTTTTTCTAACAACTACGTCAACGTGTTTCATCAGCATCTGCTTGGTGTCGCAAAAGCAGATACAGTTGGTTTGGCTGGCATTGACATAGCACTCATTGGCAAGGCCGACTCCGCGCTACTGCACTTATTCTCCATCAACAGCTGACTGTGTGCAGTTCGGCTTCAGGATTCATACAGGAGTTGTAAAGTATAGTGCAACTTGCTCATCATTTCCACTTGTGCTCCAATTGACTGTAACCTAATCAAAGGCGATTTCTGCCGCGACGTTCATCAATTTTTACATAGAGTTGGCAACTCAAGTGTCTTCCTAGTGGACCTTTTGATGCATGATTCCATCACGTTTTCGCGCACGAGCACCACTTCAGTGGTTATCATGCACTCGGTGATCGCCATTTGAATGACTGTGGCAGACCACACATTGTGCACGAAAAGCCGGTTGTTTCTCCATGGCACTAACGTCATGTGTAGGAAAATATGCTATACCGTTTGGCATTCTCCTTCGCTAGCAAGTTTGGTGTGAAGTCAATCACAGATGGTGTGCAAGCATACGTAACCATAGATCAACTTTGTCCATCTACCTTGCTTCAGATCGCGCGCTCTTTGGCTGACTACTTACCAGACAAAAGAGTCAATAGTCTAACTTGAAAGGACGCACGGGCTGTTGGGTTAAATATTTTTGTCCCTAGTTTACATAGTCATCACCGTATGCTTTTGTGTTTGATGTGTCAATAAATAATAGTAATAAAATATCAGCTGCACGCCGTAATGGCGCTTCGCTGCTTCGCGACCGCCACCAGTCGCGCGTGGGCTGAGTATACCGCGAGGACATCCGCCCCTACACGGATTCGAACTAATGTCCTTATGATTGCAAGCCAGGTGGGCAGGCTACTCGGCCACCGGCCGACCAATGTGTTCATACCAATGCTGTGGTTTGTTTCACTAGAGCCATCTAACGAAGCATAGGATTACATGGAGTTTCAACACCTGAATTTATTTAACTTTCCTCTGATTTAAATGAAACCCTTCCGGAACTGTTCAAACATGGTTGCGTAGTGCTTTCTGCATAGTTAACAGTTTTTTTTAACATCCTTCATGAGGATAAGTTCTTAACCCTTGGATGAGTCGGTTAGTGTAATCATTTTTACATTGAGTACTGGTCCATTATGTGTAAATCACAGACTGACTAGTCGTAAGTCACTCGTCTCTGAGGCGCCGGCACCTATTCTGCTTCGCATGAATTCCCATTCCGTGATTCACTCTATCGCGATGCATATGCTGTGATTTCCGTTCCATCTACTGGGGTGTGAACAAGTTCACGCTCCACCGACTACTAAAACGCGGTCACCTCTGTCGCATGCCACTATTTCCACAAAGCTTCTTCTGCCTAATTGAGAGGTGGATTTTGGGTATGTTAATGCTTTCGCATTACGATAATGACCGCTGGAAAATGCAGATTGTCTTAGATCATTTGTCGACTGAGACCTCTGAATATGACATATCTTACACTCACATAAAGTGCTTTAGGGCCGGTACTCACCTGCGCCTGCTGACTATTGCGCACACACCTCATGGCCAAATGGGCAGTTTAACCTACCCAGTGAACTGTTTCCGCCGTTGTTACTGTTGGAAAGAACATACCTCTTCTAACGATCAAAGCTTGATCGATTTTGCCATCCTGCGACACTTATGGGACGTCTATCTCTTGTTAAAAAGCGAAATTTGCAGCACCACTTGCGCGCTGTGCTACTGTGCAGAGGCGTTTCCTTACCGGTTCGTGTGATGGATGTGCGCTAGCTACTGACATTTGAATACTAGTGTTCGCAAGGTGACGTAGTTGGATGCCTTGTCCTGAGACACTGGAGTCCCGCTTTCAATACCGTTGTGTCGATGCACCCGTTGAGGTGACTCAGTGAATTTCTAACCAAATACAACACTATTCTTCGCGCAGTGCCACACGAAAAAACCGCGCCCCGGTCATCACACGACTTTGTGGTAAAACGCAAACTCGCTGACTTCGCATGTTTCACCCTTGGTTCCATACGTTCTCCTGGCCGGTAGTCTAAGAGCACGGCTACTTTGAAACACTGCAAAAAATGAAACGGTATTGAAATCCATGCAGGAATAGGATGCAAGAATGTTTGAACTTAAATGTTATGCATCTTACCCTTAGAAAAGAATAAAGAGGTTAAGCACTTGTGAATTGCTACGCATACTCATTCCCTTATTGGTTTCCATTGCTTCTGTTGGTTTCCCAGAATAGCCTTGTACGTTTGTTCAATAGGCTATATATATATATATATATATATATATATATATATATATATATATATATATATATGGTTCCCCTTTCATTCCTCATCGCATATCTGTTACTCTCTTTTTCAGGCGAGTCCACCGATTACGACCATATGGTTTACTCAGTGTTGGAATTTTTGTCCCGCTGTATAAGCGTCAAACAGTATCGATCTGAACTGGAAGCGTCACTTTCTGATGTTTATTTTCAACTTGCATTGTTGCTTCAGCTACCAGAAAACTCGGTAAGTAGTCAGGCTTCGTTCTTCTTCCAATCTTGTTTTCATCGGTTGTTTGTTGTTTTTCAAGTTTGGACCATTTACCTCGTTGCGTCGTGTTGCGCGAACCTACACCATGTGATATGGAACACCTGCCGTTCATCTCCATCGGAATCTAACATCCACTAAGTTTCACCAAACTGTTTTTTTCTTAAGTTTCCTTTTCCTGCTATTTTGTTTTCCATTTATTTCGATGAACCTCTACGTTTCAGACTTCCTAAGAACTGCTTTACACCCCTTTATGCTTTTGCCTGTAGCGAAGGTATCCTCAGTTCTCAAACTATTGAAAAGTGCTTGGAAAAGATCGAGAACTCGTGAATTCAGAAACGTTTGAAAACAACTGGTTGGTATAGCTTGTGGGCGTTTCGTTTTTGACACAGAGCAACTAATTGCATGTACAAAATTGGTTGCAAGGACTGCGCACACGTTTACATCGGCCAGACTGCGAGTGAGCTACGCACATGCATGCCAGAATACAAGGTGTGTATAACACGGCTACCGAGTAACGAGCTCAAATATAGGGCTCTACTAAGGGATTCCGCAGTAGCGATGCACATGATAGGCACAGGTCATGAGATCAACTTAGATAACCTCGAAATCGTTAGGAAGGGGTTTCGATCAACGCCCCAAAGGCTAACTGCTGTGGGCGGTTGAGTTTGGCAGGGTGAACAGATGCGTGAACAGGATGGATGAGGCAGGGCCTTCGAAAGTGCGACTGTCCTTATTGATCAGTCTGAAGAGCAACGGCGGACGGTTCCAGGACAGAGAATGAACATCATCTCTGCAACCATCGTTACCAGGGCTTACGTGTGTGACCTCGTAACGCGGACCACTTGTGACCGTTCTGTGCACTAATTGGAGCGATGTTTTAACCTGTCACGTGATTGACCTTCTGCCTACATCCTGTTGGTCCCGATTATCTTTCCAGTTCGTTATAAGTGATATACCGATGCTCGACTGGTTCACTCGGCCTGACAAAGCTTTCGTGTGTCAAAAGCGAAACGTTATCCCCAGTTCGTCTTGGTTGCGTGTGGATTTTTTCTCACACACCGCGCATCTGTCTCCGTCCGCTTCTGATTTCGATGTTCTGTTTACTTGCTGTGCGCGTCATCTAAGACATGCGGATGGCATGACACTCTGGGTCGTATGCGACTGCTATGCAAGCGCTATTGAATAACCCGCCGCTCCGCACTCCACGCTTCGGCATGTTCCTTAACTCTTGAGAGTGTGAACCAAGTCTACACTACCAGGTTTCCCTATCACTACACAACCACTGTATGTGGCCGATGATTTAACTTTTTCAAATGGCTACATCAACTCTGCTGGTTTCTTTGCCGCATTTACCGCGTTTTATTAATTAGGTTCGCGTGGTTTCTTAGCGCTCTGGTCACTTGCGACAGCACGATGTAAGCTTTTGGGTTATGGGAAGATTCGCAGCTCAACGGTACGTTCGCTATTATATAGATGGTTCAGTGGCCATTCACTGAGCACTGAGACCCTTGCAGGTTCACCGATGGCAACGAGTTACGCCCACTGCTAGTGATGAGCAGAATGCACACCACTTCAGTTCGTTTTCCGCTTTTTAGTAACGGGATCCCTTTTGCCCCGTTCCAATGTCTGTAGCAATCGAACCGATTCCGCTCGATCGGTCGTGGGCTCCACATTCTTGCAAGACGCTAACCTCGACGTATATTATTAGGTGAGGACCAGATGTGGTCAGTCAGTCACATAGCAGGTTAGCATGAAGAAACAACGAAGAACCAAACGGGATTGATGCCTGTCTCCTTCGCGTTATCAGCTTGTCAGTCAAAGGTGGGATGTACACCGCTGTTGCAAGACCGGTGTTACTGTGTGGATCAGGGATCTGGGCGCTTGCTGATGTGGGCATTTATATACTAGTCGTCTTTGATTGCCAATACTTGGTGCCGTTATCACTTTCTTCGGTGAGTTTACATCGGTTTATTATGCACCCGTTTTTGAATTCTTCATCTTGATGCCTGGTGTCTTGTTCGCGCTGCGACTATTTCCTAAGGTTTTGTTATATAATTTCTCCTTGTCCTCACCTCTATTTCCCCGTCTTCTTGTTTGCACGTCAATCTTTATACTTTTGTCTACCACATGCTGTTTTGGTGTACACAACCGCATTTGCTGGTTATCGGGTTTCAGTTGACAACTCGAAACAGACGCATGGTCAGTCACGTCTGACTACTTTGTAACAGATGCCTCACTTATTGAATAGTTTTGGATTGAACATCTTTTATTTCGCTCTTTTTCAGTACCCTGTGATTCATGGGGATGAAGAAGTAGAAATACGGTGATAAAAAGTGCAAAATGTACATTATTCACTTTATTTCTTATACAAAAGTATGAATGTTACATAAGCATGTACTAAAATGCCATAATCATTCAGGTACTCTAATTTCTTGCCGTCAGCATTCACAATCTTGTAACCGAGAACGAACACTCATGCACACTCTAGAACAATGCCTTTATCAGCATCAATTTCCCGGACAAACCTCCAAAATGAAATGGATAATGTGTTTAACAGTGCGGGGCTTGCGTCATCTTCCAATAAACTATGTATCAATTAAGGTGTACACATCTTTAGTCTTGCAGGATTCATCAGGCGCCCTAATGATCTGCGCTCAACACCAAGTTCAGATGTGGCCCTGTGTTTCGATTTCTGTGGGCTTTGAGCGACTGCCTGGGCGACTACGAATTCATTTCCTTTTATGCTCACAGTAATTGGTCGACAATTTCTCGGTGCGTTATGGTAACTCCTTGTCTGTTCAAAATAGTCACATAGTCGATATATTGTGAGCCTTGTTATGGAAGATGTTGCAAAGGTTTCGATCCACTGTTCTCTTACACGTTCACTATTTTCTGTCTTCCCGTTTTGTTTTCCATTTCACTTGCGCTGTTCGTCAGTCAAATTATCGGCCATGGTTAATTTGCCACTGTAACTGAAAAGATAAAAGGAAATGATTAAAAGCGCTACAAGTCCATGCCACTGATTTCACTGATCTCACAGTTCTGCATACCTACTTTTGCACCCCCTTTATACTTGCGCGCCCGAAATATCTGGGAAGTGCAGCGGAATCATTTGTCCTTTTAGATCCTTCGATGGTCGACCAACACAGCTACCTTTCTGGAAGAATCAGAGGAAGTTTTAGGTTGTTCCGTTCGTTTGTCGGTGCTGGATTTGCTCAAGGTATTTACCTTTGTCTTGCCCCGCTTTTTGATTGGTCCTTCGTTATTTCTCGCCCAAATCCTCTCTCGGCAATTACTGATTCTGTGTCACTTATGTCCACCAGTGCTGTGGTAGCAAGTGCTGCGTTGTAAATTATTGAGTCACGCAGTGTTTCCCTATCTATTTGTGGCTGATGCTGCATGCGTTCTTCTTACAATTTGTTCTAATTATCTTCTCACTATTCTCCACACTCTTTCGTGCGTTCGCATAGTTCATCGGTTACTCCGATTCACTCTGCTTCGCGGATGTGTCGTCGGCCGCTAGCGTCTTGATAAGCGCACCAACTCTACGTATGCTCGGTCGAGTTTTGCATTGCTATGCGTCTTACACTACTCACTCTTTCCGGTGTTCCTTAATAACATATGACGGTAAATTTCACACGCAACGACTGTCCAATTCACGCCATTGTTCACCTTCAAACGGCTGCTGACTTCGTGGTTACTTGCTGCCCTTACCTCAGCAAGTCAGTCGACTACGCTAGTGGCTTATCTCTGGGGGCGCTCCTTGTAGACGCACACTCTCTCGGTCCCTTTTGTTTCTCCATCATCTAGGGTAATCTTAATAACAACTTACAGCTTCTCACACTCTTGCCACTAGAAATTCCAGTTATTTCGTTATGTTTCATGTCGTTCTAGTTTCTCAACCAAATCGCTGAGCAACTTTTCACTCTTCATAAACATTTTCATTGTTGGTGTTAGCCTTAAATATATCTTTCACCCAATTGTCTGCGTCAAATCCGGATTACGTCTTGTGCTTTTCCCAATGCCCTGGATGTCTGAGTTTCACCTATAAAAGTGCCTGCTATCCAGCTGCAGAACATGATTTTTCCCCACGCGAATTCCATTGCACCTGATGAATGGCCTGTTCTATTTGCTTGCACCTGGATTAGAAACTCACCGGAAACTTCCGCAATTGGCGCGCTGCATTTGGTTACGCACTGGGACGGCTGTTATCATTTGCTGAGAACTTGCACTCCAAGAAAGACCCCAACTGGTTAGTGCCGATATGACTAGCCCCCTTTTAATCTGTCATGGAAGTTAATTGTCTCATTTTGTTTGTGCAAGCTTAACACATTGAAGCTTCAGAAAACATAGTACCTCTTATTATTGATGATTGTAAGACTATCTGAAGATGTGCGGGGTAGTCGTACCGTTTCATGATGCTCTTTGTTTCGGATTGATGTCATGACATCTCACCGGCTTTACTATAAACTTGGCCACGCTATCACGCATTACCCAAATATCCTCATTTCCAATCATTCCTCCGTTCCACAAATTCAAATGTCCTGGTGACTAAAGGCTCATCTAAAAACCCTGTGTTTGCTTGTTAGTGAATCTCTGTTTGTTTGATATACACTTCGTTTTTGGTCCCGTCTCCACCATCGCGACATCGGGAAGTGCTGTCAAGTGCTCCAAGCCCATATGCTTCGCTTTCCCGATCAGTGAGAGTTACGACGCATGAAATATCCCGGGTGATTCGATATTACAACTCGGAGCATTGGCCTCTAAACCAACACATCACAACGCTGTTCGGTATGTAGATGGTGGAATGGGAGAAATGAGTGCACCGTGACATAGTAGGTCGTACAGACTCAAGTCTGCGACACAGGAACGTTGAACAAGACCAACGTGCCACTCGAATGAGGCGACGGTTTCAAATTTCTCAGTTGTTAAGCTTATACATAAATAACTAAATATTTTGTTCTTGACAACACGAGATTAATGCCACTCAGGTCGAATGGTCCGATGTTGAGAGTGATCAATGGAAGATAACTTTTGGAATGGTAAAGTGGTTTTTAAGTCTTAGACTCTCTGGGCTTGACATTGTGCGCACGCACGATCTTCATCTATCGAACCACATTGGGTACTGGTGCACAGCAATTTATTCAACTCTCTAGCCTTTTTGGAGCGATTTCATCTTTTGATGCAGCCATCTGCATTCGAAACTCATAAACCATTGTTCTGCCTGTTGTTTTGTGATAGTCGTTCGACCAAATGGTGTGTACCACTTCGGTGGCATTACTTTGTCATCTGTACGAGTATTTTCTTTCTCTTATACTTGCCTTTGCCAACAGTCATATGTGCGTAGCGCGCATCCCCTCTCACGATCCGGATTCACAGAGTATGTGGGGAAACGTCTCTTGCACCCATTGCTTGGTTGCTGCTTCTCATCACTTCGATCGCTTCTACGCGAGTTCACCGACAACAGACTGCCGCTGACTCCGCAGCTTATGCAAGTTGTGCACCTAAATAATCTCGCACCATGTTGTTTCTTTCAACGCTCGTATTGCTTACCGGTTCGGTCAACAGACAGCGCAGACTCGCTCTTTTTACTCTATTGGAATCGACGTGTATAACGTTGGAGCATGCGTAAAATGGTTGCGCAGCAATGCATCTTCAGTCGTTTTCCTTGGAATTTGCTGCCCTCGGTTATATTCTTCGCATCTCTCTCCATAACGTGTCGAGGACTCCTTTTAATTTGGGTGTTGCATTGAACCTAGCCGAACTATTGTATGCAGTCTTCTAGGACAGATCACGGTCACTTGCTGCTTGTCTGATTCGACTTTATCAGAATTGGTTGTTCCTGTCTGAAGACCAGTCATCTTTCTTTTGGTGCTCACCCAAATTTACCGCAAAATTCCATAGGAATATTCCATCCCCTTTCCGTATGGTTGCGAGCATTGGGGACATGAATGCCCATATCGCTTCAACTCGGGGTGCGAACACCGTCTGTGAGACTGAGTCCTTTCCCCGCATACCGGGTAGTTGACTTCAGTCTCCACTCCGACTTACTTATGCATCACCTCTTTCCAACGCGAAAGTCTATCTTACCCTGCCAAGGGACCGCGGACCGCGGACCGCAGTGAGGTTTTAGGCTAGTATTTACCATTTTACCGCTGGTCGATTTCATGATTATTTATCTGTCTGGTGTGTGCGTTTAAACTCCGTTCATGTCCTTTTGCACATGTGCGTGGCACTCGCTCTTCCGGCCGCAACCTGCGCTCAACTTTCAGGCTCCTTTCTCCTCACATTTTTTCGCAGTCCATAGTTCTTCAAAGTCAAAACGGATTAGCTCTCATGTGACACAAATACACTCGGTGGATTAATCGACTGCCGAATATGAATAACATAATTCGAGTCGATCTGTACGTTCTGCACTGAAGATCGACCAGCTATCTATACTACACGCATCAGCTTGATGCCATAATGTGCACAGACACAATCGAACCGCCTGGTATTGGCTAGGTCAGTGGGAACGGTGACCGCCTGCTCTCATCTTACGCCACCCACGGCCTGGCGAGCACGAACACACAGTGTCGTCGTAGGGAAACGTGATATGTGTGAATTGCTCATGACATGTGCACTACGTGGAGCCGAGTGTGGGGCAACTGACCGCAGGTTGGCGCGTATCAACTTGTACATATATTTTTCATACTCCTCGCGTCGTTCCCCTGACGCGAATCAACGGAAATTTAATTTTCGTTCTCTAGATTAGATTGGGATCAACAACTATCGTGTCACCAACTTGCTAAGTTGCTTGGGAAGCGGCGTTGCTCGGAATCTGTTCAGTCGCCTTGTCACTCGTGTTTTGAAACCAAACGTGTCTAAGGGGCAGTGTGGCTTTCGATCGATATTTTGTTCACCACTAATCAACTGCAGGAGAAGTGCGGCGAGTGAAATCTGCCATTGTACTCGCTGTTCATCGACTTCACCAATACAGTTGACACTGCGAACTGCGAAGCACTGTGACTGGTCTTGGGTAAGTTTGGTAGTCTTATTGAATACATTGTAAGTGGTATGCGTACGTGAGTTCACCTGTGTGCGCAAGCCTCTGTCTCTGGTGTGAAGTAACACTGGGCCTTAGTGTTTACTGTGCTTGCTATCTAACTGTCACGACGTCTTCTACATCCCATGTCTGTGGTTGCGTTGTTCGTCTCGAGCACCTACTCGAAATAGGTTGCTAATCATCCAACGTTTCGGGGCAAGAACCAGGGCACATCAAACAACCCTCCGATGCTGTTGTTTGCTGACGACTGTTTGTTTTTCTCCTCGTGCACCGAAGATGGAGACAACCGATTCCCTTGGTAACCATCGAAAGTTATTCCGTTTGATATGAGAAACGGGCAGCAGGAAACTTTGTGTTAGCGAGAACATATGTGACGAGAATGGACAGACAATCCGCAGCTTGTCAAAGTGTTTGGAGCGTTGGGCTGAACACTTTGAGTAACAGTTCAATCGGTCAGAGTTGACAGCTTCTCCATCGACCAGTGATCGCCCTACTCTCTGGGCTGTTCTGCTGGATCCGCCTTAACGCGCAGAATTAGAACGTGAGATCAGACGGCTAAAATTGAACAAGGCCGCCGAAACTGATGGACTTTTTCCATCCCTCTTCAAATTTTGGGAATATGCTTTCTGGACGATTTACACAAGTTATTAGTGAATCTATAGGAGCAGGAGGCTGCCCCGACAGACTGGAGCAGCTTTGTAATGGTTCCAATTTTCAAGGGAGGCTTCCGTTCAAAGTGCGGCAGTCATAGAGCAATCAGACTGATCTCAATTGCCTCTAAGTTAATTGCCTCCGTCGTCCTCCGTAGATTAACTGGTGCCCGTTAAAGCCAGATGCGCGAGTAGCACCCGGGTTTCGTCGAAATCGAGGCTGCATTGACCACATCTTCACATCACGTCAGCTGTTGTAGCACCGTTGTCGTGTTCCTAGACGTCAAAGAGGCATGTGATTCAGTTGATCGATGTGCGCTTTGGGTCTGTCTATTAATGAAAGGTGTGCCCGAGAAATATATAACTGTCATAAGAGCTCTGTACGCGCATATTTCGGGTAGAGTGAGGGCTTACGGCGAGCTTTCGCCGTTTTTCAATATCACCAGCGATGTGAAACAAGGTTACCCGCTGTGGCTTTTCCTTTTTAACTTCACCATAGACGAAGTCATTGAAACGGCGTTCGCCGGGTACGACATAGAAGGTGTGAAGTTGCTCCCTAGTTAACGATTTCTCGGCTTGGAGTATGCCGAAACCATTGCACTCGTCTGTGACAGCTCCCGAACATTCCACTTTGCACTAATAAATTGGCTCTGGCTATCAGTCGTTTCGGGCTCTGGTTTGCAACCTCGAAATGTAAAGTTCATCTCCAAGATTGGCAGGGATCCACTCCTGCACTGACCTTTGGCGGTGATAATTAAGAAGTCATCGAGAAATTCAAGTATTTGGGCAACTATATCAGCGCCAGGGGAACGGAAGATGAGATCACGAACCGTATATCAAAGGCTAGATGCACTTTTGCTAATCTGCGCCATCAGTGGCGCCGTCCTGGAGGCCAGAGTTTACAACGCAGCCGTCCGTACAACACTTCTGTACGGTTGTGAAACCTGTCCCATCAAGTCGAAAGACATAATGAGGCTAGTTACGCTCGATAATCGATGCCTCCCCAACTTAGCCCATCTCCGTTGGGAGCACCGCTTCAGCATTGAGCGTGTTCGGCGATGCGTATTTGATGTAGGAAAAGCGAGTGAATCGCTCAGCACCGTTGTATCATGCGCCAGGCTTCGCTGACTGGGCCACGTGTTGCGCATGCCAACCCACCGACTGCCGCGACGTGCATTGTTTGCGCACCGGGTGTTTGGATGGACGCAGAGGAGGGGAGACCAAGCGATGACTTTGTCAAGAGGAAAGAAGTCCCTCACCTCGAACTTAGCGTTCGTTGGTGTTTTCGGACTGCCTGACTGGGGTCCGAAGGGCGATGAACACTAGTTGACATGGCTAGGAGCCGACGTTATTGGCTTTTGTTTTGTGAGTCTGTTTTCTACTCCCCTCCCCTTTTTAATGCCTCTCCAACTACGATCTCAAACCCTGTGCGTAATGTGATCTTATCATTATGTTGCTTTTTTTTAGCTATTTTAGTCTGTACTGTTTTACCTTTTTGTGTTGCGGGAGTTGGAACCCGGAACGCAGCAGTAGACTGCTGACGAATTGAACACCAGA